CCTTAGTAATTGGGTTCCCTTGGCTGTCTTTTATAGGATTCACTTGTGTTGATCTCTTCCCGGATAGAGACTTGGTTATCTGATATAGTGTCCTCAGGTCCCTTTTGCCTGCTGCCTTCTCAGCTTCAGTGGCCAGGTTGTCGTAGAATTGTTTTTGTCCTTCCTGGCACTCTTCTTCACTTCTTTGTCCAGTGCTGTGTAAGTTGAGATCAGCGTCTCTTTCTCTTGTCCGTCTTTGCATTGAATCATTTTCTCTTTCATCATTCTCCTCTCCTCTATTAGCTTCCAAGTGTCCGTTGAGAGCCATTCCTTGTCTTGTTTCTTCTTTCTTCCTAAAACTGTTGAACACGTTTCGTTGAAAATTACCTTCAGAGAGTTCCAATGGTCTTCCACGGATGATTCCTCAGTGATGCCACGTAGTGTTTCCTGCTTTGCCCTGACAGTTGCAGTGAAAATGTCCTTTGTGGTTGTGTCCTTCAGTTTTTGAGTGTTGAACTTGCATTGTGGCTTTTAGTTTCACCTTGAAAGTCCCTTGTATTAGATAGTGGTCTGAACCCACATCTGCTCCTCTCCTGGATCTTGTGTCCAGTAGGCTCCGTCTCCACTTCCTTGAGACTGAAATGAAGTCTATCTGGTTTTTGGTGTGTCCATCTGGTGAAATCCATGTCGCCTTTTGTATATCCTTGTGTTTGAACACACTGCCACCAATCCACTGAAACTTACCTTATAAGCTTCATACAAATTAGCTGAAAAACTATCGTCCACATAAAAGGATACATCAGCAAACTCAGATGTACGCTTTTGTTGTTTAGAGTCATTCGAGCATCACGCTTTGTTACGGGATATATTCGACCATTTAAAAAAAGTGCCACTATCATCGTTTCATCTCAACAGCTATTGATTATCTCCGTATTCATTTAGTAACAAATACACATAGTGTGATTGAAATACCAAGTTTATCACGCTACTTAAATCACCGTTCCCCATCTCCGCTACCTTCGCAAGTCCTTTTGACAGGTTCACAGAAGGGTTAACCACTAGCCACACACAAGTCGTCATTTTGCCTTCATCTAAACTACTTCTGTAACGACAGAAGACAAAGGACAGACAACAGATCGTTTATTGAGAAAATCAAGAGGTGTTTGCAGATTTTTATGTGCATTATTATTAGCGGAGAAGCAGCCTCTTCTGATTGTTGTTTTCTTGCTGAAGGTTATTCTGTTATCTCTTTGTGGCTGCTTCTCAAAAAATCAAGCCATATATCTGTGAATCATATTTCCACACTTTAACTCCGCTGTGATTGGCTGGTGATTTTCCCAAGGTTAAGCTTTGTTATTGTTTTTCTCATAACTCTGATTCGGAACGTGAACATTGACGTAAATTGTTGTCTACAATTTTGGCTTGCAAACAGCTCTCACCACACTTCTATGTTAATTTAGGCAATATCTTGCATTTCAAACTCCATTTACGATTGTAACCAGTCTTTATGAGTATTTTTGGTATCTAATAGACTAGTGATATTGACATTCAGAAATAATTACTAAGGGCGATATTTTCTTCTAAAAAATGTATTCCGAACATCAGTAAAAAGTTTGAGCATTGTGGATTCGATCAAATAAAGTATAATTACATTTCAATGGTTTACACACAATGATAAGTTTTGTTATCGCTAATATGACATAAAACAATTCCAACAGTGGTGTGAACACGGGCAGTAATTTTGCTCGAAATATTACCGATAACAAAATTTATCATTGTGTGTAAACTATTGAAATAAAATTATACTTTATTCGTATTCAGAACAGACTTTTTTCCGCATGTATACAAATTCGTTTATTAATCGTAAAGACTTCATTGTGAAAGGAATATTCTCAGTCTACACTAATTGATTAAATAGGCTAAAATCTTCACATAACAGTCATACTGTACATAACCATTGAATCAGGGGTGTGGAATCAGGCTAGCATACCGGACATTGTCAAAGAAACGATCATTAAATGCGGAATTAGCAGTGGGAATAAAAATATACATAACAAACAATAAACTGTCGATGGTTTGACTTAAACTGTTAAAAAAATATCTAAAACACTAAAGACAATAACATAAATAATGATGCTGATTCAGTCATGATTGATTATGTGACACAGCAACGCCCTTTACCAGAAATCATCCATATATTTAGAGCACGAATGAATAACTGGTTTAACCCACGTTTGCATGATTCATTTTATTTGCATAAAAAGTAAAATGACAATCACGTGACATGTCTGTATATGGTACCTTTACAATTCCAAAATCTATCTTTTGAAAAAAAATAGTTAACCTAACACTGTATTAGCCCTATCACTGGTCAACAGTATTTTATAGTGTCTAAAAATGATGGATTTCTTCCACATAGCTTTCCTCTGGTGGTAAGACAGCCGGTGAGGAGAACACGTGTGGAATTATACGACGATCGTAGGACTTATATCAGCCACCCATCATACATCCACACTTTAATTAAGTGGCTAGAAAAGAGAGAGGATTTAGAATTGACTGATGCATGCTAGATTGATTACCAGTATGACGGCGACGCATTTATCAGCAGCTTGTACGCTCTTAATTAGTTCATTCAGTTTCTGACATCAGGACAAATCAGCTAATTATGACGCTTGTGTCTTAATTCTAGCCTATTCAAAGTCCTACGTTTTCATTGACTGGTAACATACCTTTTAAAGTCACCCAGACAATTTCTTTACACGTTTAGTATCATGATTAAACAAAACTCAATTTTTAAGACTTTAGGAGACAAGTGGCAATAATAAAATGAATTAAGATTATTAGTTATTTCTAGATTTTACCGTCGATAACGCTTTGGCGTTTGAAACTATGGACGCTGGGTTCGAGCCTCGGTGGGAACATCATCACTCACTGCGGAATACAGGCATGTCCATATGACAAGTCCAAAATAGGACGAAACGCGTATCCTGGATTCTACTGCTAGTCAACATCCACCAATTAACTTCTAAGATTATTAGTGTTTTAAATTATTGAAGTGGATGCGAGCGAAAACAAAGAATTTCTGATGCAATAGGCCACATACACCATCAATTTTTTGTTTAACTTTGAGACATACCGCTTACCCAATATTATCATTAAGCAACATTTACTACTACAGACTGGCAAGAACTCTGAAACAGCCATCCAAACAAATGTCTCAAAAAATTTCCAATACATAATTGAATGTTAAGTAACTGAAAATGCTATCACATAAGCATAGCAACGAACTCTGCCGCTACAGTAAGTGTAGTTATCAGGATGGTAGATAAACCCACTTGTAAATAGTGGTGAACATGGAAAATAGTAACCAAGGTGAACAACATACCAAATAACCTTGAACAATTAATCAGAGTAACCGCATGATAAAAAAAACAACTCATCAAGTGATGAGGAAATTAATATCTAATACGAATAGACGCATAAAAAAAATTAACTTAGGCAGGATAACAATCTTAAACGTATTATAGAAGTAACAATTCCTAACATAAACATTAGTGTTTCAATAACCCATCGTTTAACGTTTGGTGAGATCTGAAAGAACCATTCACATTGATGTATGGAGTACTTAAATACAACTATACTTTCTCTGTTACATTTACTCGTAACATTTCGCGGGCCCACACTAATTCAGTGAAGTGATTCTGAGTACAATTAAAGGAAAAGAACAAAGCAATAGATGCATCCCAAAAGTAGATGGTATGCAGTTATCTTGAAGGGTTGTATGTACAGCAGTTGGTTGAACCATGAAGACATTGGAGACTTATGTAGATGTTAAAGATTTTCAGCCCGTTTAAATTAAGTTTTATTTACTTATTTATTCGTATTAAAGGAAATTTCCCAAGCACTTAGTGAGTTTTTATTTAAGCGGCTATTTTGATCGGTTGTACAGCCTCATTCGGCACTTTGTTCTCATCGGTAACCATCATACATATTTTCCTACACTCCACCCAAAACAAGTATGTTTATGAAAATGTGATTAACTAAAGTGTTCGCTCTGTTTGACGTATACACTCATTTGAATACTTGATATGATGTTTATATATGCCAATATTCACAATGCTTGATCACTTTTTGGATTACAATTTCACACTAGTACTAAGTGCAAATATAATTCATAGCCAGATAATTCAGAAAGCAACTCTGAATCATCCAGAAGTGAATTACAGCTACCGTACTTTATTATGTTGCCTTTTCCAGCTAAAAGAGTACCAACCAAATACTTTACGATCACCCAAATGACTTGTGGCCACGTACAACATCTCTACCGAAATTCCTCAAGCCTTTATCCATCTATATTTGTTTATCTAACTTCTTCGTCTGTATGGAAAATACTGTTTTGTAATTTAGGTCAGCTACTGTGTATTTTGTGAAGATGTAGAGCTAACTGTTCTAAGTACTCGGGTTCTAGTCAATGGATCTCTGGTCTGAAACTTGTTCCAACTACTTCAGTCTGGGCAACTGAATAACATCATCAGCTCTAATATAATAACTGTGCGTGAAGAATTTGTTCTTGGTTATGGAGTTCTACTGACCACTATATACCTTAGAATTTGGGGAAAGCATGTTTTTCATGTGTTGGTTTGCAGGGATTTGATTGGCTATAAGTCAAATTACAAGCTGACCCCAGTTAGAGAACCACTGGAAATCAGAGGGTACTGCATAGCTGTTTCGTCCTAGTTTGGGACTTATCATGACCCTATCGGACATCGAAACCAGGATATTTTGTTTACGAGGCGACCACCACTGTAAAACTTTCACATAACAGCAGAATGTTTACTACACTGCTTCCAACAACTTGATATACCTCACATCATACTCTAGCCACCGATAATCTTAAGATATTTTATGTACCTGAAAATAGATATTTCACAATCAAATAAAATGAGTATGTTACTTATCTTCACTTTAATTTTCAGACAAAAGCTAAAATATTCTCTTTTATTTGTGGAAAACGAACATACCTGGTAGTTCTTGGCATATCTGTAAAATGATATTACCACATGCATCCATCATCTTGGGATTGGAACGTTTCTGAAAAATTACAAATGAAATAGACATAATTTTAGTACTAAATATAAAACAAAACTAATTAATACACAAAATAATTTTTCTATTCCTTGGGTTCCGAGTATAATACAGGGCTTCAAGCTTTGAAGTTCCAATAGTGATGGTGCTTTTTATAGAGTTAGGATGCTAGTATCATCCTCACGCTCCCCTCTTTTCGCATCGGCTAGTAAACTAAGCGAGGTTAAGGTGTGCTCCGGCGGGGGACCGAACACACGTCTCTCGCATGGCTAACCAGCATCTTACCATAAGACTGCCAACATATTACAGAAAGAAATAACAATAAGTAATTTATATTTAGTAGAGGTCAATCGTTAACTTAAAGGATACTTGTTTAGCTTTTTGTTTGAGAAATATCAGCTGCAACTACGTGTTTTCCAGTAAATGATGTTCTTATTGAGGGAAGTTAGCAGATCGAAGAACTGATGAACGGAAACGTCATCTTGTCCATTCAAGCAGGCTAGGGTGATTAATATTACCGCAAATGACTATGGGCAGTTATACTTCATTGTAGGTAATTAAACGTAAAGTCGATAATTTGCAATTAAATTTTGTTCATTACGGAAACACACATTCAGTCATGCAAAGTTTTCGCTTTCAGACAGCTTAGAAATTTAAATACACAAATTTGAGTTTCGTGTAGTGCAGCGAAGTGTAACAGTCAAAAATTCGCACATCTAAGAGGAAAATATTTACATTATTTGTATTTATATTCATTTTCACGGTTCATTAAAGATACAGAATACTTTTAAAGATTATGAATAAGAATCAATTTGAAACTGAGAAGAAGCAGACTGTAACTCCCTCCACAAACTGACTATTTTACTCGAACCTGTATACGAATTATGTAAGAAAACTTAATATCTTCAGGTAGTTCTAGGCAATCAGCAGAAAACCCCGAGTTCTGCGTTTATTGGCTCTCGTCACCAAGGTTTGCTAGCTACCGTGAAGGGGCGAATGTCCTTCTGACATCCGAACCTGAGTCTTTCAGTGCCGCAGCCAAAGACATTACCATAAGTCTATGCGAGTGCACCACTGACCTCCTGTAGGTTTGTGCTGATAATATTGATGGAGTAACCAGTGGTGGTGATTAAATTCAATCAGTCAATTTGTAATGTTGCCTTCAGTCTGGGAAACACTTATCACAGCGCACTTTTTGAATTAATGCTATATGATTGGATACGAAATTCAAGCTTTACGAAACGAAGTTTCCTGACGATCGCTTCTGACTATCTGAAGTTAATTTAAAGGCGCGTCATGAAAAAAGTTTCCTAGATTGGAGATCACATTGTAAACATGAGTGAAAGAATTCAGTGAGCACTACAAAACCTAGAAGTATGACACCAGTTTCATCCCAGTAACCAATCAATAAAATCCGTTTTATAACAACCCCCTTAATGTAGAATATATTTGAGGAACTTATCTAACAAAGTAACTGATCTTAGTATGTTACATATTATTGCCTACTACAGAATATAGACTGAAGGAAGGAGAGATTCTAAGCCAATAAAATAATGAGTTAGAGCATATTTCACCCAATCCAACAGTCACTCTACAGAGTTATGCAAGGAATTAAACTATGGCAACCACCATCAAAGACTTGCTGAATGACCTTCACAACCAATCATAGTAAGGAAACTCTAAAACTGGTAAATTTGTTAATAAAGTGTATTCTAAGATAGACAGCTTAACTAACACCGGTGAATTGAGCTTTATATTTGGTAAAAACAATTTCCAGTTAGGCCCAATAAATAATCTATTGCCTACACAAAACTAGGAATGCAGTTCATAAGCAAACTGTGAACATGGTACACGCGCAGAACTCATAATTAATAATGAAAATAGTTGCTTTAAGGTTATTTGGAAGATTCTTGGGTCGGTTCTTGTTGGTAGTTATGCTTATGCATGAGTACTTCTATGTTGATGAATAAAAATTTAAACCGTGATACTCCACTTAACTTAGTGTGATTTTCTAGCATAAATTTTCTTCATAACAAATTCTATGACAACTATTTACAGACCAATTGAGTACAAAAGCGACGATGCATTGACTGACTGAATTTCAACATAGACTATACACAGAAGTGCAGCAGTTCAAGTTGCCACACTCCACATAGCACACAAAGATAGGCAGAAGAGAGATTCAAAAGAACCATAATGAAAAGAAATGTGCGGGAGAAAGAAAGAATAGTGACATAAAAAAATAATTGGAAAAACTAGTTAATCCAATCTTAATTGGTGGATGGTGACTAGCAATGGAATCCAGGATGCGCATTTCGTCCTATTTGGGACTCGTCATCTGGATGTACCTGCATTCCCCAGTGAGTGATGATGTTCCCACTGAGGCTCGAACCCAGTGTCCATAGTTTCAAACGCCAAAGCGTTATCCAGTAGACCACTTGGGCCACGAGAGCCACCTCTTGTTAAACGGGTCATATTCCCCTGCTAGTCACCATCCACCAATTAAAATTCAAATTACATATCCAGACATCGTCGAAGCATCTGCACAAGAAGCCGACATGTCAACCTGAGACGGAGCAATTCGGTCCAATCAATCGACGGGAAAAGCTAAAATTCAATTAAATAACATCACCAATCATCCTAAATCTCTAGTATTCATCATCCAGAGGACCCCAAACAGGTTGTTAGTATACAAAACGGAACCACCACTGCTATCACTACAACTATCTTATAACAAGGGCAACACTGAACACATACATTCAGTCAAACAACAAAGTAAGGGAGGTAGGAGGTCGCAAGGATATTTAATGAAAGTCAATGAATGAGTCAGATGTTGAATAAACAAACAAAATACAGTAAAAGCACATCAGTTAATTAGGCATTCACAACTGACATTCACGATTGTTATGTGTGTGTGATGAGACAAATGACAATACAATAAATCATAGATTAACGTTGACAAAACAAAACAGAATTCTGGACAAAAATTAACACTGCTATGAATAATGAACAAAAACAAAACAGAATTCATAAAGTTAGAATATGCACTGAATAAACATACGCTGCTTTTAAAGCAAAAAACAGTGAAGGAAAATAATCATTTTGATAAGACAGACTGACACTAATATTTGCTTCAGTGACTGGTTTTTATTGGACCGAAAGGCTCGATGTCTGTGCCGTCTCCTACTACGTACGCTTCGACGATATCTGAAGACTAATACGTATGTTATTTGGTTTGATGGTGATTTGAACAATCAACGAGAAATACAAATAAGAGTAACTAAATAATATCTGATACCCGAGGCACAAGAGGTGGCTCTCGTGGCCAAGTGTATATCGCTTTGTCATTTGAAACAATGCGCGCTGAGTTCGAGTCTCAGTGGGAACCCCATCACTCACTGGGGATGTAGGAATATCCATCTGACAAGGAGTCCAAAATACGACGAAATACGCCTTCTGAGTTCCACTGCTAGTCAACAACACCGACTTACTAAGACTGACGTTATCACTGAGACAACGTTTTCCGTTATCAAGAGAGCAGATAAAGAAAAGTAAACTACATATTCAATTCATGCAACAAAATAAACAGGAACAACAATTTTAAATACTCATTGTTTTCTAGTCGGTCGGTCGGTTTTCGACATAGAACTTTGCACATATGTGCGGCAGTTCAAGTCGCCACACTCCATGTAGCACGCAAAGCAAGAGAAGAAAGTAGAAGAAATGCATAATATAGACAGTAAACAGAGGTGGGAGACAAAGGAATAGTGTTTTCTTAATTAGTTACTGCTGAAAACGAAGGAATTTCTACGGAAACATAGCTTTTGTAGAAACTTCTGTCATTAACTGGTTATTCAATCTGAGAGACGTTGGAGACCACCAGAGAGCACTGGATAGTAGTTTTGTCTTACTTTAGAACTGCTAAGCAATCACCAGATGGATCGAATCCAGGAATATACAGTTATATTATAAGTAATGTCTCCTAGTGCTCTTCCGTATTTACAAGGCGATCGAGACCATTTCGCAATGTCTTCTTAGATGAGTTACTGCCTCATCTAAGAAGACATTGCGAAATGGTCGCGCTATGTCGTGAATTGGCAGAAGTTAGAATTCAAGGACCATTGGATCGGGTCCCAGTGGCTCAATGGTCTACGAGCTCGCCTTGTAACCAGAACCGTGGGCGCATACTGCTGAAGAGTCCCAAACTAGGACGAAACAGCTGTCCAGTACTCCCAGGTTTTCCAGTGGTTCTCTAACTGATGTCAGCTCATGATGAAACCCTCCATACAATAAAACAAAATCCCTACAAACCAATACTTGAAAATTATATTATACTTATACACCTATAATTTCGCTCAGTCTTAAAATAACTGAGTTTTACAAGGTCGTACACTTTTAATTCCCACTCTCTCTGAAAACCGAACTCTCATTGGTTATTAGCACACTGAAATTACCAGTAAATTTAGTATTTATCAAGGTCACTCAAAATCAATATATTCAGTAAAGTGTTCTTAAAAGTTGCTTCAGACAGCGAAAGCCCTCATAGCAAAGATCTCCATTTCTCTTTTCTTCTCATCTGTCGGTAATCTGTTATGGTCGTGGTTGACTTTGCGATTGGCAATTAGAGTTGTTTTATTCTGAGTATTAGGTTTGTATAGTTCTCATTCTACTATCGATCATATCAGCTACTTGTAAGAATTTCCACAGTTAATTTATTAAAGTTTTCCTCTGAAAAATTAAAGAAATTTCTGAAGAAAACAGTAAGAAACAAGCGGAGGAGCGATGAAAACCAGACAACTTATATCAGATGAAAAGTGCAATTATTAGTTTGTACTCATCAGTATTGCTTCCTATAATATGAAGTGTGATACCACATTACAGTTTATTCAACTGTTGCCAATTCAAAATACGTAGTAACACTAATTTATTGAGAACAAATTTCGAACCTCCAAGAGGTTAATCTTACTGGATGGAAATGCTCCGTCACTGGTGACTGATCGATTTCT